TGCAGAATGATGTATGTGCAGAGCTTGACACTCGAAGGCTGTTTTCACATTTATCTGCTGAAAATGCTCATATGATTTTAAGGGCTAGGGCTACGAGCCTATGTTGGTGGCTTATGTAGCCTGTGTTTGAACCATTTAATTAAAATATGTCTGCATATCAAAAGCCAAAAACTTAAATATGTCGTTCATTCTTTGGAAGGGCTACAAGCATGATTTGTGACATCACAAATATTTTAGAAGCCAGTCATGGTCCAATGTTCAACTTACACAAGTGTGATGTGGAAACTTGAAGCCTCCAGTGCACGTACACTGAGAATGGACTTAACAGTGAAACCTTTGGGATGAAGAATAAAATTGGCATATTGATAGATTCTAGCATTTTTAATGAGGGAGAAGGTGTAGATGTCATTTTAAGGATTTTAACAATATAATTGATTTTTTTGTGGAGAAACTATAGCATACATTATTATTCAAAGAGAAACATTTATATACTTATACTAATGGTCACTTTACTAAAGTAAAGTGAGACATCAAAATGAGTAGGTAATGATTCAGTACTCATTACCTACTCATTTTGATGTCTCATTTTACTTAAGGGTACACAAAAAGGGTAGGTAATGATTAGGTAATAGTTCCTCATTCATTCCAAATTTGCGGCCGATTGAGCATGTTGCATCGGTGACGGAGCTTGTCGGTGAGAGAGATCACTCTGATTTGGTGTTCAGGTTTTATTTCCTCGCCCCTGTAGCAAGTGAATCTGCCTGTAGTGAAACTGGGGCTAACCAGTGCTTCCTCCTCAGGCTCCACTTCACTCAGCTGCCCGACAGACCCGCTGCTTTCTCCCACTTTAACCTGAATAACAAACCGGAGCTAGCTGTGTGGCTAGTGGAGCATTAGCCGCAGCAGCATGACCGGAGGGAAGCACAGCCAGTTAGCCTCCACTAGCCTCCCAGCTAGCCCTGGCTCTCCGTTTGGACCCAACCTGAGCACCGAGCCCGGCTTTGTTATTCAGGTTAAAGTGGGAAGAAGCAGCGGGATTAAAGGGCAGCTAAGTGAAGTGAAGCCTGCAGAGGAAACACCGGGACTGTCTGGATGTAACAGGCCGTGGAGGTGCTGCGGTGCTGGGCTGCACAGATAGGAAACCCCTCGGCTGACAGGATGTACCACTCTCTCACTCCGCTACTTTGTTAATAGGTTCGTTGGAGATGAACTGCGCTTCGCCTGAAAAGTAGACGAGAGCAGGCGGCCGCAGTGGGGGGCGGTGACAAAAAGCCGCAGTGAAGTCGGACAGTTTCCCGACAGTTTCCAGCAGCCTTCAGTCCTTATAGGATGTCATAGACACATTTACTTCCTGTCTGGAATGATGTCAGTTCATTAAAAAAGTGATCAGACCCATATATCAGTTTGTTCTCAGTCTCCAGTTATTTTAATTATGATAGATATTAAAATGCTTTATAGGTGATTTGTAGTTTATGTTCATGGTTTATCCTCCATTTGACATGAATTCTCCTGTAAATCAGCATCATATCAGTTTGACCTGTCCGACTACAGCGTCCCACCAGCGTGGGTCAGGATGGCATTGTCAGTGGTAAATCCTCTGAGTGTTGTGCAGTGGCAGATTAGCTAGCTAGCAGGATAAACACACATGGCCCAACATGCATTAACAACACTCATAGCAGGACCGTCGACCACAACAGAGTAGCCTACAGAGAAGCTCGAATAACAGCACGCTGAGTGAGCGTGACTTCATTCTCTGCTCAGGATGTCATTACTCTTTAAAATCTTTACACAGCAAATAGTTGATTGCAGCTACATTAATGCTCTGAATGTCACATACAGAACCTTTCAAGACTCTTTTTATCTCACCACAACAAAAGTATCAGCTGTACTACTGTTTCGAATATACTGTGAATCTACAGTAAGTTATTACTTTAACCTGTTTCAGATGATGTCACACAATGATCCTCCTTTGAGTATGGGGGCAACTGGAAGTGATCTGTTCCCTGAGCATGACTGGATTAAACTTGAGCCTGAAGTGAACTGTGTGGATGCAGACGATGCTCCAACTTACAGGTGAAAAAATGTCTTCAAATACTTTGGCAGTGCAAACACATTTTTACAAAAGGAAAACTATGATCTTTTTCGGTGTTTTAACATTAATGCCAATACATTATTACAATTATCGTGGTATTGTTACATTTCACAGCAAATTAAAACAAGGCAGATTTTGTTTTCTGTTTACATTAACGACTTTTCTGATTTCTGATCTTACAATATTCTAGCACAAAGGAGACCCAAACTTAAATACTTGTTTCCCTTTCATGAATTAGCCTGCAGTCTGAAGCAGGTGCCTTTGAATGCAGTGTCTCTGGCTTGTGCTGGGTTTGTAAGGAAAAGGTCAGCTTCAGGTACCAGTTTGGCTCTTGGGAGGGGCACTTGGACAGAATGAAAACCATGCAGTACATCCCTGGAGGTCCCCTACTGGACATTACAGTCATTGCTGGAAAGTTAGATGAAGCACATTTGCCACACTGGATCTGCACAGGTAAGCAACATCATATGATAAAAACAAGATATAACAACCTCAGTAATGTTTGACGTATGTCTTTAAAAACCTTTATACACGTGTCTTTTGTGCAGAAGACAACCCTACAGTTTTAGACAAGTTTGCAGTCCTCCACATAGATACATGTGGAGACATTGTGATCTGGCTCTAGAAGAGGTGATTACATATCGTACTGGCACCATGTTGATTCACACTTCAAAACACTGGCAGCAATGTTGGCTGCTGTAACCTTGAAGCATCTTTGTGCTGACGATGTCTTTTTTCCTCCCATAGAAAATACAGAACAAGGAATTATCCAGTGGATACAAAATGATCCAAAAGCCATACCCAGCAAAATCCCTGAAAATGCGTGACTATTTCACCCTCACAGCTGATAAGGACACTGCAGTAATTTACCCTGAGGTAAAGTTTGGACTGTTTTTACTTATTGATTTAATTGTTGTCCAGAAATAAATAAAATGGACTAATATGAAACTAAAGCCAGGAGATGGTTAGCTTAGCGTAGTATAAAGACTGAAAACAGGAAGAAACAGCTAGCCTGGCTCTGTCCAAAGATCACAAAATCTGCTGACCAGCACCTTCTAAGCTAACTAACAGTCTGTATTATCTCTCGTAAAATGGCAACTTGTTAAATACACTGCGTTTTCTTTAAGGATGAAACTCATGGACAAACATAAGGATTAACACGGTCATGCTAGCTGCTTCCCCTTTCAGGGTTTAAGCTAAGCTAACTGTGTTCCGATTTACCAGACAGACAAGCACATTTTCCAAAATGTCAACATTTTAGATAAAAGATATTGTTACATCCCAGCTCTTAGGCTGGAACAATGATGGGAAATGAGATGAGTGAACAAATACTTAAGAGCTCATTTATTTACAAAATAACAATAAATAACCAAACAAACGTGGAAGTCATCAGTCATATCTGTGAAAACGAGGAGGGAGGCTCTGGTAGGTGGTGAGCTTCTGTATCATGGCCAGGCCCCGATGTGGCTCATGAGGTTAATGACGACCCTCTTCCTTGACCCGCATCTTGAAACAGAAAAACAGCCAGGAAAACAGACACACCGAGTAGAGCAGAGGCGTCATCATGTCCTGTCATTGCATTGTTTTGGCAAAATACAACCCCTGTGGCTTGCCACCTGAAGATTTTCTTCAGGCGTGTAACTTACCACATTTTAAAAATTGACCTCAGCACAAAGTCTAACTCTGCTCCTTTCCCTTTTATATATTTCTGTCACAGAAATTAAAGCTCATATATGAATGGTGTGGCCCAAACTTCTTCGAAGTGTTCATTGACGAACCTGACAGTAATTTCCAGCTCGGACTCACACACAGAACAAGTGGACAAGTGTGGACCTGTGCGATTCGAAAAGGTCAGTGGTGATGAAATGATATTCTGTGATGTGTGTATTTACGGCACCTGTATATCATTCTTGTTTAGCTAAAATGGCTTAAATTAAGTGTCTTGTATTGTGAATGCAGAACATAAAATTTACATATTGTTTATCTGGATTATATTTCAGATGACTATCAAAACACTGGTGATGTTCCGGTGATGTCTGGTAAGACATAATATATAATGAGTACTCAGTAGAAATACACATTAGGGCTGCACGATACATCGTTTAAACATTGTCATCGCAGGACGTGCAAGGTTTTCTCTTTTTTTTGAACATGTAAACTTTTGTTTTGCTTCAGAAAAGCAGCTCTGAAGCTCCGCTCGTTGCTCCGTTCCACTCGCCTCTCTCTCTCTGTCTCTCGCCTCTCTGAGCACGCAGCAGCCCCTCCCCCTCTCACGCACATGCTGCAGTCACACTGAAAACGAGCGACATGCAGGGAGGATTTATGCCTGGTACACACTACACGACTTTTCTGCCCGTTCTGAAAGTCACTGTCACATTACATGACTGTGGAGTCATAAAATCGTGCCGTGACTTGGCCGACAGACATGGTACACTGATAGAGCTGCTCTTATTTTTCATATTTTTGTTGAAAAGATGTTTACTACTTCGCTGCTGTTTTTCAAAGAGATTTTTATTTCATTGTTGGATTTGTGTGAACCACTTGGGGCTGATGCAGCTGCTCTTTTATTTGTAGATTTGTTTAAAAGATGTTTACTACTTAAAATAAAGTGTTAAATAACGTCTATTTTGTCACTTGTATTAATTCCACTTGTGTGAATCAACCTAATTCTTTCCAAATAGAGCTACTCAAGTCATCTGGTGAGAATTCTTGTATTTTTTAACATCGCAATATACATTGCAAAAAAAAAATCGCAATGTCAGTTTTTTTCCAACATCGTGCAGCCCTAATACACATGTATAAAATATAAGGAAGACAACGAGCACTAGCCAATCAGAAAAAGAGTAGAGTGGGTCATGCCTTTGCCATTCTAGGAAAAAAAAAAGGCGTCCCAAACTAGGGCTGCAACTAACGATTATTGTCATTGTCGACTAATCTGTCGATTATTTCTTCGATTAGCCGACTAATCATTTTATCAAAAAATGTGTTAAAATGTTGAAAAATGTCAGTCTGTCTCTCCCAAACCCCAAAATTATTGTCATTTAATGTCTTGTTTCGTACTCACGCTAAAGGGTTTTAGTTCAACGAGTGTGTAAAGCTGCCAATATTTGAGCATAAGAAGCTGCAATAAGAGTATTTTGGGGTACTTTTATAGTACTTTTCTATGAAAAATGACTCAAACCGATTAGTCGACTACTAAAATAGTCACCGATTATTTTAATAGTCGATTAGTCACCGATTAGTCGACTAATCA